TTTGCCCCTTTTTTTGGTCCAGGCTGTTCAAACCTCCCTACCTTGAGCGACTGCCTGCCGGCCCATTCCCAAGTGCTAGGATTACAGGCCCCGGACCACCACAATTTTTCCGCATCCAGGAAATAGGAATACTTTAAAAATGCATTGCCATTATTAGTGAATATGAATGGTCCCCTACCAAACAAATATAAAATTAATTCAATAAGTGCCATGCTATCAACAAAAAAATCAAAACAAAGAAGCAAAAACTCCCCAAAAAGGAATCACTGGGGAAATTCTGGAACATGAAAACAGAGGGGAAAGACAATCCTTCCCAACCAAGGAAAACAAATCCCCTAGCGCCAATGAAAACCTTTTCCAGGGGGGGGCCCTGGGTCAGGAGAAAACCAAGACAGGGGGTGGAAAGAAAGAAACAAACAACATGATGCATCAACTCTCAGAGGCCCAAACATATCAAACCATTAATAATTTTAGTCACATCCCACCTATAAAAATACATACTACTCATTGGTTTGCCAATAAATAACCAGCTCTCCAGGGAGATAAAACTGACTCTACTTATACATACATAAATCTATAAAAAATTTACTGATATAAAGCTTGTATAGCTTATAGTTTACAAATAATAAATATAAAATACTCTTCTTGTAAATTCCACACAGCCAGTTGATTTCACAAGTTTTCAGTGATTTTTCAGAACTCTTCTCTACACAGCCAACTTATGGTTGCAATCAGGCTTAATGACAATCCAACTGTCTTTTTTTTTTTTTTTTTTTTTTGAGCCAAGAGTTCACCTTTTGTTGCCCAGGCAGATGAGTGCCGTGGCGTCCAGCTAGCCTCACCAGCAACCTCAAACTCAGCAACCTCCTGCTCCAGCCTCCCGAGTAGCTGGGACTACCAAGGCATCTCGTGCCACCACGCGTGGCTGAATTTTTTGTATATATATATTTTGTTTGTCAAGTTAATTTTTTCTATTTTTTAGTAGCAGACGGGGTCTCGCCAGGAGGTTCGAACTCTCCAAACCTCCGGCAAGTGCCCCCGCGCCCCAGCCTCCGAGAGTGCTAGGATTACAGGCGTGAGCCACCGCGCCCGGCCTCCAATCTGCTCTTTATCCAGTATATTTCTTGTCATTAAGTGTGATATGTGATCTACTGTTAAACTACCATTTTTCACCCTCATACAAACTCATTAAAATGAAACCTCCAGTATTAGCACTGCTGATTGCAATAATGCTATCTTTTTAGCTTTTGTATAATTGCAGCAACTGTAACATTGATTCACCATTGTTATCTGCAAAATCCTGAAAATCAAATTAATTCATGTTTTAAATTTTTACTTAAATGGCGCAAATTTTCCCCACTAGTTATTCATGGTGAAATTAGTTCTTTGTAAGGCTAAGAAGGTTTTTTTTGTAATTTTAGGGGGTACAATTTCAGTTTTTGTTACATGGATATAGTGGGTAGTTGAGTCCCAGCGTATAATGTAACCACAAAATAGTATACATTGTATCCATTAAGTAATATTTTTATTCCTTATCCCCCTATCCTTCCAAGTCTCCAACATCTATTATTCCATTATGTCCATGTGTACACATTATTTAGCTCTCACTTATAAGAACATGAAGTATTTGACTTTCTGTTTTGAATTATTTCACTTAAGATAATGGCCTCTAGTTCCATCCTAGTTGCTGCAAAAAACATGATTTATTTGTTATGGCTGAGTAGTGTTGCATGGTATATATATACTATGTTTTCTTTTTTTGAGACAGAGTCTTGCTCTGTTGCCCAGGCAAGAATGCCATGGTGCCAGCCTAGCTCACAGCAACCTCAAACTCCTGGGCTGAAGCGATCCTTCTGCCTCAGCCTCCCCAGTTACTGGGACTACAGGCATGTGCCACCACACCCAGCTAATTATATCCACTCATCTGTTGATGGGCACTTAAGTTAGTTTCATTATCTTTGCTATTGTGAATAGTGCTGTAATAAACATTTGAGTGCAGGTATCTTTTTGACATAATGATTCCTTTTTCTTTGGCTAGATATCCAGTAGTATGATTCTGGATCAAATAGTTCTATTTCTAGTTCTTTGAGAAATTTCCATACTGTTTACCATAGCAGTTGTACCATCGTACATTCCTTCCAACAGTGTGTAAGTGTTCCCTTTTCTCTGCATCCTAGCTGAAATGTTATTTTTTGACTTTTTAATTTCTTTTTTTTCTATCCCTATTTTTTTCTTTTTTTCTTTTTTTGAGACAGAGTCTCACTTGTTGCCCAGGCTTAGTGAGTGCCGTGGCGTCAGCCTAGCTCACAGCAACCTCAAACTCCTGGGCTCAAGCAATCCTCCTGCCTCAGCCTCCGGAGTAGCTGGGACTACAGGCATGCGCCACCATGCCCGGCTAATTTTTTTTAGATATATTAGTTGGCCAATTAATTTCTTTCTATTTTTAGTAGAGACGGGGTCTCGCTCTTGCTCAGGCTGGTTTCGAACTCCTGACCTCGAGCAATCTGCCCGCCTCAGCCTCCCAGAGTGCTAGGATTACAGGCGTGAGCCACTGCACCCGGCTAATTTTTTGTATATATATTTTTAGTTGGTCAATTAATTTATTTCTATTTTTGGTAGAGACGGGGTCTCGCTCAGGCTGGTTTCGAACTCCTGACCTTGAGCAATCCGCCCGCCTCGGCCTCCCAAAGTGCTAGGATTACAGGCGTTGAGCCACCGGGCCCGGCCTTTCTTTTTAATAATAGTTATTCTGATTGGTTAAGATGGTATCTCATTGTGGCTTAATTTGCATTTCTCTAATGATTAGTTTCCCAAAGTGCTAGGATTACAGGTATGAGTCACTGTGCCCAGCCTTTGCCCACTTTCCAATGGGGTTGTTTATAGTTGTTGAGTTGGGAGATGGTTTTAATAAATCAGAATAAATAAAAGTGCTATTTCTAATAAAAGACAATTACCTTTTAGTAACATATTCCTAGGCAGAGGTTTAAATTTATTTTTATTAAATGCAATGTTTTTAAACTTATGACTTAACCAAATCTTCAACTTGAGATTTATGCTTTTCTAATACCAGTCTTTAAATTTTCCAAAGTTTTTATGGCACATTTTATTATTACTTTCTGAATGTTAGTTTATCTTGACTACAATACAATTGAAAGTAATGAAAATTCTTGAGGGATAGCAATCATTAAAGTCTTGCAAGAAATTAAAGTTAACTAATTTCTTTGCCAAACCACAATAAAAAGAATGAGAAAAATGTTTATGTAATGGAGGATATGTGTGCCATACAGCAGTGGCAGTTCACAAATGACATGCCACCCATTTCAACTCCAGTACTTGGCTAATTTTAACTATTTCAATATCAAGTTCCTTAGCTACAATTCCTAACTCAGTTTCTTTTTTATTGGATTGGTGATAAATAGAATAAGTTTTATCCAGAATATTTTTTAAATGATTGACTTTATTTCAGATATTGAACTCCAATTGATAACTTAAACAGTGCCAAACGAAAATTGAGGAAAATTTTCTAACAAATTTGTAGCCACTCCAGTCTTGCTTACCTTACTGCCAATGTAGTATAGTTCCAACATAAATGGTGGTTGATATTTTTAAGTTAACCAGTAAGACAAAAGTGAAACAATGAAGTGGTATGTTGGAACTTCATTTATCAATGACATGAGCAACATCTTTGCTGAATCAGATAATAGTTTTCTAATTCTTCTCAATTTCTTGTGTTACTCATAATGTAAAGGCCACTGATGAGCCACACATTTTAATTCTGCATAATTAACATTTTCTCTACCAGCCTGCTACCTTTTTTGTGAATTAAGCTTTATTGGATTATGGCCATCCCCATCTTTACTTGGTACTTTTGTACCACAATGAGAGTCAAGTAGTTGTGACAGAGACTATATGTCCCAAAAGCCTAAAATATTTACCATTTGTCTGTTTACACAAAATATTTGCTGACATTTGGTCTAGAAAAATCAACAAAACAATAAACCAAGCCCTGACTTGTAGCATTTGCAAATTTCCATGGTGTAAAAATTCCCATTATAGCTAATTTCATGCTACCAATGTGACATCTCTGAACAGAATTGGGAAGAGATGCAAAGAACAACATTATTTCCACTATGGAGATACATGGAAAAATAATCTTAGTAAAATTATTTGTAAAAGGAAAAAAACACAACTGAAGGTTTTTGAGTATTTTTACTTTATTTTTAACATAATCATATGCTTATATAATTTGATTTTTTTTTTTTTTTTTGAGACAGGGTCTCACTTTGTTGCCCAGGCTAGAGTGAGTGCCGTGGCATCAGCCTAGCTCACAGCAACCTCAAACTCCTGGGCTCAAGCAATCCTCCTGCCTCAGCCTCCCAAGTAGCTGGGACTACAGGCATGAGCCACCATGCCTGGCCAATTTTTTCTATATATATTAGTTGACCAATTAATTTCTTTCTATTTATAGTAGAGACGGGTCTCGCTCTTGCTCAGGCTAGTTTCGAACTCCTGACCTCCAGCAATCCGCCCACATTGGCCTCCCAGAGTGCTAGGATTACAAGCATGAGCCACCATGCCCTGCCTGATTTTTTTTTTTCCCAGCTTAATTTCACTTTATTTTTCTCATATAAAAATGCTATGTTGGCCAGGCGCTGTGGCTCACGCCTGTAATCCTAGCTCTTGGGAGGCCGAGGCGGGCGGATTGCTCAAGGTCAGGAGTTCAAAACCAGCCTGAGCAAGAGCGAGACCCCGTCTCTACTATAAATAGAAAGAAATTAATTGGCCAACTGATATATATATAAAAAATTAGCCGGGCATAGTGGCGCATGCCTGTAGTCCCAGCTACTCGGGAGGCTGAGGCAGAAGGATCACTGGAGCCCAGGAGTTTGAGGTTGCTGTGAGCTAGGCTGACGCCACAGCACTCACTCTAGCCTGGACAACAAAGCGAGACTCTGTCTCAAAAAAAAAAAATAAATAAATAAAAAATAAATAAATAAAAAATAAAAATGCTATGTTGTAGCCACAGCTGACGCCTGGGTCCTCTGCAGGGAGACTCCGGTGTGGGTCTTGACAAGATGGTTGGTGAATTCCTGGTAGGGAGACTTGGTGAATATTGTCTCTTTCCAGAGGTCAGGAGTCAGATAGCTATAGGTCTTGGAGATGGCATCAAAGGTGGCCTTTGCGAAGTTGCCCAGGGTGGCAGTGCAGCCCCTGGCTGAAGTGTAGCAGTCATCGATACCAGCCATCATCAGCAGCTTCTTGGGCACAGGGGCTGAGAGGATGCCAGTTCCTCTAGGGGCAGGGATGAGACGCACCAGCACAGAGATGCAGAGGCCTGTCACCTTGCAAGGAACAGTGTGGGGCTTGCCCATCTTGTTCCCCCAGTAGCCTCTCCGCATGGGGACAATGGAGAGCTTGGCCAGGATGATGGCCTGTCGGATGGCAGTGGCTACCTCCTTGGAGCACTCAACACCTAGACCAACGTGGCCATTGTAGTCCCCGATGGCAATAAACGCCTTGAACCTGGTCCGTTGGCCAGCGCGGGTCTGCTTTTGCACTGGCATAATAATCTTCAAAACCTCATCTTTGATAGTTGCTCCCAGGGAAAAATCAATGATCTCAGACTCTTTGATAGGCAAGGAGAACAGATAGATCTCCTCCAGGGATTTGATCTTCATGTCCTTAACCAGGCAGCCCAGCTTGGTGACGGGCATCCACTCCTCGTCCTCTGCCTTGCCTCCGCCAGCTCCGTGGCCTCGCCCCGGCCCCAACCACCAACAGGAATTGCCGCCGCCACCGAAGCCTCCACTCCACGGAAGCCGCTGCGCCCTCCCATTCTAGGAAGCCCCCAGGGCCTCTGGCTGCGCCATCGTCACCTGCCATTTGGTGTTTTCTGGGAGAAGCTCGGCCTGATTTTTAATAATGGTTGTGCATAACAACTGGCTCATGAAATGCCTAAAAATTTAGCAAGCTACCTTGCAAACTCGTAAAAGCCAGCTGCAGTGTACTACTAGCTCTATTTTCAAAATGAAGCTTTGGGAAAGCAAGTGATTTGCCTAGTTTGTAAGTGGCTCAGTCAAGATTCAAATCTAGCTCTAAAAACCCTGACCCAGGTGAGGTTTCTTAGTCTTTTTTGTTTGTTTTTTGAGAAGGTGGGGGGGTCTTGCTGTGTTTCCCGGGGCTGAAGTGCAGCAGTCTAATCCATAGCTCACTGCAAACGAGAATTGCTGGGCTTAAGGGATCCTACCACCTCATCATTCTGCATAGTTGGGACTATAGAGGCAACTACCATGCCTGGCTTTTTTTTTTTTTTTTTTTTTTTAGAGAAGGGGTCTTGCTATCTTGCCCAGGCTGGTCTCCAACTCCTGGTCTCTGGCGATCTTCTTGCCTCAGTGTCCAGAGTAAGTCTTCTTAGCAGGGAATAAGGGCCCCTAGGTTTGGGGGAGACATCTATTGAAGGAACTCCACATGTAAGGTAAAGTATTTTCTGGAGTAGCATCCTACATTGATATTGCATGCTCTTTAACATTCCCAAGCTTCCTACCAGTTTTTTTTTTTTTTTGAGACACAAGTCTCGCTTGTTGGCCACCCAGCTAGAGTGTGTGCCGTGGCGTGCCCAGCCTGAGCTTCACAGCCAACCCAAACCTCGCTGGCCTCGAGTGATCCTTCTGCTCAGCCCTCCGGTAGCTGGGACTACAGCATGCGCCACATGCCCGGCTAATTTTTTATATATATCCAGTATCAGTCTGGCCAACTTAAGTTTCTTTCTATTATACGTAGAGACGGTGTCCGCTCTTGCTCAGGCCTGTTTGAACTCCCTAGACCTTGAGCAATGCAGCCCCGCCTCGGCTCCCAAGACCCTAGGATGAGCAGGCGTGAGCCAGCAAGCGCCGCCTTCCTCATACCAGTTTTGCTAGGTTTGTTTTTTTTTTAAAAAAAAAAAAAGAGCTTGAGCTCTGCTTGAGCTCTGTTGCTCAAGTAGGATGGAGTGGGGCAATGGCAGGATTATAGCTCACTGTAATCATAACATTGCCCCCTCCCAAGTAGCTGGGTCTACAGGCACACACCGCCAGGCCTGGATAATTTTTTTTTTTTTTAGAGATGGGATTTCGATATGTTGCTCAGCCAGGTTTTTAACTCCTGGCTTCAAGGTATTCTCCTACAAAGAGCCACCCCACCTGGCCATGCTAGAGTCTTGATGCTTAATAGTGTTAAAGCAACATAAGCAGCAGGCCACTAGGCTAGGGTTGTTTCTTAGATAGCAAACCAAAATTTGAGGTATTCTTCTAAATAACTGATTAATTTGAAATCAAGCCTCAACCAATCACAAATAGTCACCCAGTCAAGTGGTTATCTAACTAGGGACCTCCCATGTGACCATATCCAAATAAGGAGAACGCTTAGCTGTAGCCAATCAAGTAATTTCTTTATTTTATGTTCAGGTTAGGCTGGCTTGGCAAGTGGAGGCTCACCCTGTAATGCTAGCGCTCTGGTAGGTGAGGCGGGAGATTTGCTTAAGCTCAGTAGTTAAAGACTAGCCAGAGCAACAGTGAGACCCCATTTCTACTAAAAATACAAAAATTAGCCTGGTGTCAGTGGCATATACCTGTAGTCCCAGCTACTAGGGAGGCTGAGAGGCAGGAGGATCCCTTGAGCCCAGGAGTTTGAGGGTACAGTGACCTACGATGGCCCCACTGCACTCTAGCCAAGGGAACAGAGTTTTGAGACTTTCTCAAAAACAAAACCAAACCAAACAAAACAAAAAAAGAAATTGTGTTCAGGCTATCAAGCTTGTCGCCTAAGCTGCTGGAGCAGAGGTCTCTGAACCAGTTCTGGTTTTGAATGCTGTCAGATTCAAGAATCTTTTAATGCTCAAATAAACTCTTAAGCTTATTTTGTCCAAAGTTTTACTTTCAACAATACCTATCCAGAAATCGGTCTAGGCTGGATAGCTGAAGGAAGAAGGGAACAACTGGTTGGCCAGTTCATCTGCTGTTGGAAATTTCCCGTCTCCTTAAACATTTTCATTAACTATAGGAAGTGCAAATACAAGTGTTTACCACCATTAGTCCCTTCTCATACTTATCAAGCTTCATGAATTTCAAAAGCTTCAGAAAACTTGTGCTCTGGAACCCTACAATACTTGGGGTACAGGAAAGGACACTATCAAAGAGCATTATGCAGCTGCTCAGAACTGGGAAAAGAATTTGGGGCAGTATGGCCAAGTGCGAGGCCTCTAGGCAGTCTCTAAAGCTTTCGCACCGCTCCTATTCTCAGTACAGGATTAGAAAACGGTTAGAGCTGTTGGAGAACTTGGACATCATCTGCCCTCGTCAAACTCCTTCATGCGTGAGGTAACAGCTCCAGTGAGGTGAAGCGACCTATGAAAGCAAAGTGGCCGAACCAGGATTAATTTATACCTTTTTCCACTACACCACGCGGCCTCCTCTAAAACGCTCTCCTTGCACAGAACTTACCCGGAAAACACCAGGAACCTAGTTGGCCTACAGTAGGCCTTGAGCTTAGGCAAAAGCTCTGGGTGGCTCCTGGGTCAAACTGCGGTAACTTTGAGTCAGAGGGGTTCAGGCCACGTAGAGAAGCACGGAGTCCAAGGGCGTCAGGGTGCGTGGACGCTTCAGAGAGCAGCAGAGCGTGCAGAGGTGGCCAAGCCCCTGGATGGGAGCCACGCCTCTCGCAACGCCAGCGCCCCGCGCCGGAGGCCACCGGAGCAGCCGCCGGCTCAGGGCACGCAGCCGGGGGCGCGCACGCTCATCCCGAGGCCGCGAGGGAGGCTGGCTGGCTGGCGTGCGCGCCCCCGCGGCGGTGGGCGGGGTTGGGGCGGGGCTCTGAGCCGGACCGGGGCGGGGCTGCAGGAGCAGTAGGTGCCGCAGCTTGGTCGCGACAGGTGCGCGAGGCAGAGCGCCCGGACCTGTGGCAGGACTGGTAGCAGGCAGAGAAAAGACGGATTTTAGCCAGGTGAGGCCTTCTGTCTCCACATTCTGCGCAACCAGAGAGTGCGCGAAGACCCTCTTCTTCCTCCACACCCTCTTTCTTCCTCGACTTCTGGGGCAGGGGGGAATCCAAGGAGCGCGAGCCCCTCCCCCTCGAGATAGAGGGTCAGGTGGAGGAGCCACTGATCCTCTGCTTTTTCTTCACTTCTGGGTACTTCGCCGAGGCTGGGATTGCTTATGTAGGGCTGAACCTTTGCCGCCCGAGCTGAAAGGACCCCCTCCTCCTTCATCGGGGACTCTCCTTTCTAACTATATACTACTTTGGTGTGATAAAGGAAGGTGGCAGTTCATCAAAGTTCAAAATACCCTCCCAGGTAAATATAATATTCAACTGCTCCTTCTCCTTCTTTATTTTCAGCCATTCCCTCTCCGATTTTTCTCTCCTTCCGTTACACCAGCTGAACTCTCTTTGAGGCACTTACATGCTTTTGAGGAATGTTGAAAATACAGCAGTCCTTGAAGCTGTATGTGTCATCCCCGAATTGCTGTCGTGCATATATTGCTGGCACCTGTCACTAACATATGTAGGTGTTAATGTAACTGTACACCCCTGGTTACACATGCTAAAGCTCAAAGTTGTGGGTGCTAGGAGCGAACCATCTGGCGCCCTTCCTAGCCTGCTTATTGGTGCTTACAAGGAGTTTAGCTGGTCCTGGTGAGACATATTTGAACTACTATTGTCTTGCACCTAATTCCAGCTTTCAGAAGTCTGCCTAATCCAGATGGTTCTATTGACTTGACTTTCAAATTAGTCAAAGGTATTAGAGAGTTATCAAATTTTAAGACAATGCCCCTTTTAGGGAGAGCTCTTCTTTTGCATTAGGTATTCTTTCTTTTGCTCTCCATTTAAGTGGTTCAACAGAGTAGTTTTATCTGCATAGCTATTAATACTATTCACAAATAATAAATATTTCAGGAACCATGAAATAACACTTTCTTCTGAGGAGTGATGTAGACACAAAAGAAGACCCTGAACAAACATTTTCTAAGTTCTTATGGCATTATAGCCTGGATGAAGGATAATTATGCTTTAGATATACCTTCAAAAAGTTATAGAGTTGGCAGGGGAGAAAGTAAAAAAAAAATGTGCATGCATATATATTTTCTTGTTTTGCATTGATGAAACAACACATAATGTGGTACTAGGTAATTACTTATTTCATTCTTTAAACAAAACAATTAGTAAGTGCCTCTTGTGTCAGTCAAAAGTTCCAAACATCCCTATCTTAAAAAAGCTTAAAATCAAAGGGGTTAGGCAGATCCATAGATACAAATTAAAGTATTAGTGATGTAATTTTTACACTAGAAGTTAGCCTAGGCTACTGTAGGAGCACAGAGAATACAGATTTTTTTTAAAAATTCCCTCTTCTGCTTTTCCTTAATAACAAAACAAAAACACATAGCAACAATAACAATAATAACCTTTGGGTAATAGTGAGTGATTCTCTTCAGTTTATGTATTTGTATCACTTTCATATTCCTTACCTTGTCTTCCTCCAACTCCATGACCCTTTGAAGGTGGGATTAGCCCATGTTATTAATTGTCTGAAAGTTCAATAAATAGTTGGTGGAGCTATTTTCACTGTTCTGTATGTGGCCCAGCAGTGTTGTTATCAAGTAGTCCCTGAACTGTAGAGCATCTAGGAAGAAAACAGTCTTTTGGCAACATTAGTGCCATTTTGTAAAAATTACCTCATTGTATAACTTTGTTTAACTTGGTACATTCAAGCTTTGTTCCAGACTCTGATTAAAGGTGGGGCCAAATTTCAGCCCAATAATTCTAAGAAGAGAAAGCTTCAGAAGTGAAAACAATTTTATTAACAGCACATCTTGGGGACAGGATGCTTTTTTCTGCTAAGGTGCCCTCAAATTGTTTTTTTGTTTTTGTTTTTTACTTGGGTAGGGAAGACAGGATAGATAGGTGGGTATAGAGGAAAGGATCAGAGTGTTTGAAGATTCTTTGCAGTTTTGATTATTTGACGTCTACAGTAGTCTTGAGTGTTCTTCATGTAACTGCAAGCTTTTATTAATTGCCTGCTGTGTGCCAATATTCTGGTATATAGAGGATGAACGTGACTAGGTCCCTTCTACATGATTATATTTTTAAATAGAGGTTTTGAGTTAGTTATACAGATGGAGGTTGTTTCATCTGATTATTTGAGCGATAGCACTTGATAAACATATTTCTCTGACATTGTTTATCTCCTTTCTTTCTGTTTACACTCCAGGAAAGTGGTCTCCACAGAAATTTTTGGAAAGGCAGCAGGTATATTTGCATGTATTTTGGGTATCTACAATGATTATGTTGTTTTCTTAGAATATTTTCAAGTATAATTACTACTATGGCTTATGAGGGGCCAAAACAAAACAAAAATTTAAAAATTGTTTCTTAGGGTTTAAAACTCTTGTCTTTTCTCTGGTATTTTTCACCACTCAACTATAATTCATTTAGAGCCCCTGAACCAGAAAAGTTCATCAAAGACAGTACATACACAGACACAAAACAATGTTGGGAGTATGAAAGATCACTAAAC